CCTTTCCCCCATCTTCCTCTTAGCCGGCACAGGTAGCAGTGCTAAAAGTGAAGAAAACCCTCTTCGGCATCTCTTGTCGCCCCCCCCCCCTTCCCCTTCGCGAAACCCCCTAGATTCGTCTATGATGTAAAATAGCACTATTTTCGTGTAGGGTAGATTGAAGGTTCGATTCCGCAGTAGGACAACAAATCCTTATAGGATTCAATACACATCCCTATGCTGATGGATTAGTACTGACATATGTCAAGAAACCAAAAATCGCTATTAGCTTGCTTGTGAGCAACCCCTAAAAGAGGGAGACGTCGAAGACCTTCCCAGCAGATGGTTGATATTGGAATTTGCTACCACTCCAGCTACTTCCCGACTGCCTTTGCTTGCCAAATGGAACAAATATTGAACGGGTTTTCCACTTTTGTCTTTAATTTTTCAAATATCGTGCCCAATGAAGATGTGGATAACTTTGGATTACAACGAATATTTTGTGAAATTAAGAAAAGGACAGATTTTGGATGGCAAAAAACCTCAAAAAAAACCTGCTTCCATGATAAAAACCTCAAAAAAGGCACTTATGAACAGAAAAAAAATACAAAGAAGCACCTGTGTAGCATTCCGATTCGAATAATTTACCAGAGCATTATGCGTTTGATTGAGCCATTGCCAGAAAAGCAGGGAAGGCCATGACGGATTTGGTAATAGCATTCCAGTAACCTGAAAAACGGTAAGTCGAACTTTTCACGCCACCATATTGATAATCGGCGACACATCAACATATCCCCTGCTTTGTGAATAGCTTTGGATTACAAAGGATATCTTGCGAAGTTTTTTTGTTTTAGAATTTTTCGAGAAAAATTTGCACGTTTTCAGCCACTGCCTAAACTTTTCCTACCAAAACTAGTAGTAGTTGTACAGCAGCCTTCTTTCACATGGTTTCAGGTACCACCTCACCACCAAAACATCTCTAGCACAGTTACTGACTTCTGGTAGCACAAATTAGTATGAATATACTTCATACTTATACACTTAACTTTTATCTTTGCTTTACCTAAGTTTCAATTACGTAACTATTTAAACTCAAATTCATACTAATTATCACAATCGTCGTACTGAC